CTGGCTATAGAGGAAGAGAACAAATTCTTCACCTTATCACAACATTCAATAGTAATAGTTCTTAAATTGTTAAAAGCTGTGTCTCTGAACCGGCCATCAACAATCTCTTCCATATTGCTGCACCCTGTCACTGAAATTTCTTGTAGATGGAAAAGCTGTCTGGCTATAGAGGAAGAGAACAAATTCTTCACCTTATCACAACATTCAATAGTAATAGTTCTTAAATTGTTAAAAGCTGTGTCTCTGAACCGGCCTTGAAATATCTTCTCCAAATTAATCAAATTCTGGAGAAATAATACTTCCAAGCTGGGAAATGCATTGAAAGGAACCCCCTCCGCTGATTTAATGATATGTTGAACCTCTGGAGCATTACGGACATAGAGACGCTTCGAATCTGGAAAACCTTCCCTATTTAACTCATCAACCACATTCTCTACACCTGCCAACTCCCTTAGATGTAGCTCTTCAGTCTTCTTCAACAACATTTTAACTAAATCGTTAGAATTAATGGATGCATTTAAATGCAACTTCAATATTCTTGAGCCTCCAAAGGAACTATATTGGTCTTCCCACTTACTCCCAATGAATATTTTGAATTTTTTCAAATTTTCAAAGAACAAATCTTTTGGGATCATCCGAATATCAGGAATGCATACCTCTAAATTAGTCAATTTCTTCAAATGCTTCAACTCAGCAAGGCTCGCATTTCTTTGATTTTCATTTTCCTCAACCTCCCATCCGTGGAAGCTGTTTCCCAGGTACAGTTCCTCTAATATGGACATACTTGCCAAGACACATGGGGGAATTATTTTGAGTTTGGTACAGTCACTCAGATCTAATAACTTTAGCTGAGTCAACTGCCCAATTTCCCTTGGAAGCTCTTCAAACTCAGACCACCCAAGGCTAAGAATTTCTAAATTCTTCAGCTCTCCAATAGTACGTATGTCCCCCAACACGCTTTGATCCAAACATAATGTATGGAGGTTCTGCAAGAGGCAAATTGATGAAGGCAGGGATGACAAATGCATGTGAGTCAAATCCAATACCTTGAGTCTTGGCATTCCCTTGAAAAAGTCTGCTGGAATTTTCAGAGAAGGATCTTCATTATTCAAACAAAAAAAAGTAAGCTGAGGACTTTCAAACTCATCAGGAAGCTCATTAATATTAGCCTTTTCCAGCCAAATCCATTTGAAATCTTTCATTGCCTCCATGTCTAAACACTCTCTCGGTGCATGATCACCTGTTAGCAGCAACCCATGACGATTCCTACATGCGATTGATACAGCCACATCCTGAGCAAGGTCATGCATATCAAAAGAATCATTGTCACAATCATCAATGAGCAAAGAAGAGGCTTTGAGCGTCCTTATCGAAGTAAATACTTCATCTCGTGCTTCCTCTATGGTGTTAGCAAATAAGCCCAAGCCTACACCATACTTCAACAAGTCTTCAATTGAAGCCTCGTGACCCATTAGGCAGCAAAGCAAAAATGTTTCCTGCAGCTTCTCGGTTTCCAAATGAGAGTAACTGACCTCAATAGCTGAATAAACCTCTGCAGGTATGCCATGGAAGTTTTCCGAAGAGGGCTTTCTTAGTTTTCTCAAAGCATCCCTCCATTGGTAAGGCTCCTTATTTTTCAAAGCCTTTGCCATTGTTGTAATTGCAAGGGGCAAGCCCCCACATTCCCGGACAATCTCAATGGCCGTATCGTGTAGCTCCTTACTCTCAGCTCTGTCACCAACTATCTTTTTAAGCAACTCCCATGCTTCTCCAGATTCTAATTGATGAAGAAAAAAGTTCAGTGGAGAATCCATCAGATCTGATAAAACATCAGAATCTCTGGATGTCAGCAGAATTTTGCATTCTACATGTTCTTCTCTTGACGAGCTCCCCTCTACATTTTCTTCTCCTGACGAGCTCCCCTCAATCGTTTTTGGCTCGTTTCTAAGAGGAATTCCAAGCTCCTCCAAATCTATTCCAGGCCTCCAAATATCATCCAAAATGATTAAAACCTTCTTCATATTCTTCAGTTTGTCTTTAATAAGTTCAGCAGCATCCTGAGTTTTAATTCCATTAGGAAGCTGATCTAGACCCAAGCCACGGGCTATTTCCACTTGAATCTTTTTCCAGTCTGCCTCCTTTGAAACAAGAGCCATAACTACCACATCGAACAGCTTGTCTTGCTCTGCTTTTCTTTTTATTTCTTTGGCCAGCATCGTCTTCCCCATGCCAGGCATCCCGTGCACCCCTATAATGCTGCTGCTTCGACTCTGCAGTGCCTCCATGATCCTCTCTAAAACATCCTTTCTTGAGTAAAAGTCCTCAAAACCTTTGACAGGCGCGGCCACTTCTTTTGGTGGAGCACGAATGTGGGAAAGTGGGAGGTTGAATTCACGAGCTTCATCCACAAGTTTATCAATAGTCTTGGAATTCTCCTCTGCATTTTTGCTGAGTTGGTAACGAGATTTGGGAGTGAGACACGGCCCAAAGAAACACTTCTTGCTGGCATTTCCTTCAGCATCAGCTACTAATTTCTCTGCAGCATCAGCTACTAATTTCTCTGCAGCTTCAATGCAATTGTCGGCCCTGGTCAGCCAATTCCTGAGCTCTGGTACAATCTCTTCCCCTCTTCTCTGAACAGTTTCAGCATACTTCTTCGCAGTCTCTCTCTTATCCTTCAGCTCAGCAACTTTGTTCTTCAAATAGTCAACATTATTGTCGCACTGTATCACAAGAATAATTGGCTTTGTGATAAGAGTGAAAATTCCACTAAACAAGTTCCCAACAAAATTTGCAGCAGCATTCTGACAAAACGAAGAAGGGTCGGACATCTTCTAATTCTTTTTTTTCTTTTTTTTTCAGTTGGGAAAAATATATAAGTGCCAAACAGGAATAAAGACACAAGGAACAAAAGAAGCAAATGAATCAGATGAGGATATGAAACAAAAGATGAGAATAATGAAAATAAGCTGGTTTTTAGTAAAGGGAGGTAAAATGAGGTGCAGAGAGTAGCGGAAGAAGGATTGATCCGCAAACAATGGAGGGAACGAGTTGGGATGAAATCAAATCAGATCAAATGAAAAGAAAGGGTGAGAAATGAGAAACGTGTGAGGATGAGGTGATCTGTGTAAAGTAATATGAAGATGCGGTGCAGAGAGTAGCAGCAGAAGACGATAGAAAGAAGGATTGAACAGAGAAAATGAAGGAAACAAGTTGAGATGAAGCAAATCAAATGAGATGGTGACCAAAGGAGGGCTGAAAAGAGGGATCGATAGAGCAAAACCATAGCATGAGAGCAATCATAGTGACACTGAATGATTTGTTTTAGGGAAATCCCTCGACTCCGCCCGCCTAAATAGGCGGGGGGGGAACGGATTTGTTAATTAAAAAAATATAAATATAAATTATTTTTTAAAATTATTAATTAAATAAATCATTTTTTTTTACATATAATATCATTATATATTAACTTTTTATTAAAAAAATATTTATATAATAAATAAAATTTTGACATCAAATATTAAAAAATAAATAATTTATTTTAATTAATAATACTAAAAATAATTTATCTCTATATATTTTTTAAATAATGATTCTCTCTCTACCCACTTATTTAAGGTACAAATTTGGGGATCCTGCCTTCGTTTTGTGCAGAAAAAAGAAGTTGGTGGCAAAGACTGAAGCCTGGGGAAAGGCCCAAAGACAAGGAAGAAAACTCTCTGACGTTAAGCTAGGGAAGAGAAATTAATGCTGCTGAATATAATATTGATTGATTATTATAAAATTTTTTAGAAATTTTAAAAGACTCGAAAGCACTGTTCAGACAAATTTCGGACTGCTTCAACTTTGCTTCTTCGACAAGCATCAGTGTCGTATGAACTGAAGAAATTTGAAATTTGATTTTAAGTCCACACTTACGGCGGCGCCATTATTTCTTCCGGTAAAAGTAAAACTAGCATTAATTTACCATCGTGCCAAATTAATATTTCAAAAAAAAAAAAAGTCTACAAATTTAGCTGGGCATGGTTGTGTAGAGTTATAAAAGGTTAAATACTTTTTTGGTCCCTCTATTATAGAAAAAAGTTTTTTTTTTGATTTTTATATCGAAAAAATTTCTTTTTTGATCGTTAAATTTTCAAATCAAGCCCTTTTTTAGTTTTTTTGTTAAATTTTGACTGACGTGACAGGTTAATTAACGAAAAAAATCATTTTATTTTTTTATTAAATTACGTGAAAAATCCATCTGGTATAAATTGATGACATGGTTAAATTTTTTATTTTTAATTATTGATTTGCCCTCAAAGATTGATGACATGGTAAAATTTTTTCCTTTAATTACTAATTTACCCTCTTCTTTCTTCCCCACCCTCTCCTTCCTCTAGCCTTCTCTTTTTTTTCTTTTTCTCCTTTTACCTCCAGGCGAACCCAGGAGTTGGGTTGTGAGGAACCCAGGAGTTGGGTTGTGAGGAACCCAGGAGTTGGGTTGTGAGGAACCCAGCTTGCGGGTTTGCACCTAGGAGCCTGGGTTCACGAGGAACCCAGCTCGCAGGTTCGCACCCAGTAGCCTGGGTTCGCGAGGAACCCAGCTCACTGGTTCACACCTAGGAGCTTGGGTTCGCGAGGAACCAAGCTCGCGAGTTCGCACCCAAGAGCCTGGGTTCGCCACGAACTCAGCTCTTGGGTTCACTCCATCCGTGAAATCTCCGGGGCTTTCCTAGCCACTATAGTTTCGTTTTTTTTTTTTTATCTTCTTTGTCTGAAAATGGGTTTGATTTGCTTCACCTATGAGAATTTGATATGGCAAATGAAGTAAGATTTTGATATGCATAACCCTTGAGAGTGATGTTGATGGGAAAAATATTGTAGGCCCAAATCTAGTTGATGATAGTTGTTTTTGATGGGTTGGAGGAGACAGGATTAAGGGTTCTGAATCAAGTCAACCATGGTATAAGGCAAAGATCTAAAGAGTACATCAGTAACAGCTTAGCCATTGTTGCTAACATGCCACTTCTTCTTGAGAAGTTTGGTCTGAAAATGCACTGAAATTTCTTGTTTCTCTTGCTTCAGATTTTGATTTCCAAGTCTTGATTCTCAGTTTCTGGTTTGTAATGAAAATAATTGTGTAAAATTACACCTGTAAAGACTATTGTGGATTTTTAATTATCTCTTCTTTTCTTTGATTCGTTTCATTTCTGTTGTTTTTTTGAAAATTGATGAATTACGAATTTAGGAAGAGATGATAAACATAAATATGGAAAGAAGGAAGTCCTATTCTCTCTTTTCTTTTTTACCACAAGAAAGTATTGGGTTCCTCGTGAATCCAGGCTCTTGGGTTCGCCTGGAGGTAAAAGAAAAAAAGGAAAAAAAAAAAAAAGGTTG